TTTTGTGTTACCTTCACACCCACAGGATGTCCATAGCTGTGCGATGTTATAAAGGACTCGGTTGTCAGTGCCAAAGTCAGACTCTATAAACCTGCTGATGAACCCCGTAAACCCCAGACAGGAGCTGGAGCCAGAGTACTAAAGGTTGTTAGCTACTAATTGCTACATTTCTAGGGCCCATTCAAGACATCAAACCCATGTGGCAGAAACCAGGGATGCTCTGCTAATTAGCCTGACACTGACACTCTTGTCCTCCAATGTTCCCAGGACAGTGATAGTCTGTAAATTTGTATGAAGGATTTTAACATGCCTGTTAAACATAAACGTGTATCTGTGATGTTTTATGTGGGGGGTTTTTTTGTCTCTTAATAATACAAACCACAATTTAAGTACTGATTTCATTTTTTTTCTCAGACAAGCTGTGGCCGTGCCTTTACAGTGAAGACTGGGGGGTTAATGCATGATTCGTGGGATTTTACCCTCCTATTGGCATCCAAAATGTCCACGAATCCCTTCTCAGTTGAGACAACCCAGAGGAAACCTTAATGCCTAATGAGCAACGGGAAGCGCTCCAGCACTCTTCTAGCCTTTAATTTCCACCTCAATACTAAGCAGAGCACGCCCCAGCCCTTCTCCTAGCCTCATTAACATGTGTATTCTTCCAATTCAAAACACCAAAGTACTTCCTTCAGCCAGGTGCTTCCCCCTTTGGCCCCTCCAGCCTTGGTGCTGTTGATCCAGTCACACATCCCCGTCTGAGCTATAGCAGAATTAATGGTGAGTCATGGTGAGGTTAAAAAAAAGGCCAGGGTAGAATAACCCTCTTTCCACCTTTAAAATGGCAGACAGCACAGAACAGACATTTTGTAAAATCTGTTGTTTAGTGACATTGTCCCCAAAGTAAAACGTGGGTCGATGATGAACATTGGTATTTTTAAATTGCCTGATGCTTTGTTTTGCCATTGCTTTAAAGCGCTATGCATGCGTAGTCAACTAGGGTTTTAGTATGTCCCACAAATGAGTAGCAGTATAGCACATGACTATATACATGTGAGACTTAAACAATTAAAATTTGTGTATGTGAAAATATCTGTGCTAAGACGTGCATGACAATGTAAATAAAAACAAATGTTGTTTCACAAACTACTTCTCTGTAAAATGCAATAAATTGAGTTTTACAGTTAAAAAATAAAGATTACATTTTTTTGCTCCTACTCCACATCCTTTTTTGACATTGTCCATCTTAAAAAAACAAAAAAACAAAAATATTGTCTTTTCAAGACTGTCCGCCACACTTGTCTTGTCCTTTTATGATTTTAAAATTCAAGTCAGTCTCTCTTTTGTGAGTGACAGTTTCCCCTGTGTATGAAAACTTTTAATAATTTCCACAACATATTTCAGTTGGGTGGAAGGTTTTCACCCCATGGTTTTGCTCCAAGTCAAATACACCCATGAACTTGGAAAACTTTCACATCAAACAGTAACATGTTGCACACCAAGGGAAATTTAGTAAATACATCACACCCCGGCTGCGAGAGCTGAGAGGCTATAGAGGCAAAATTAAGCTAGTCTGGCCACAGTGACTTTTTGCAGTTGTAGTGGTGTCACTTTATGAACTGGCTGATGCTACTGGAGGCTGACCAAGTGTTTGATGATTGTAGCCACACACATTTAGTCCATCTATTTAAAATATGAGGAAAAAATTAAAACATGCAATAAAATATACACAGGGTGGCTTGCCAAAAAAGATTTTGTAAAATAAATCACAGACTTGACAATTACAATTACAAGTAGCCTTCATTTGTTAATTAAACTGGACTTTAATAATTACATATGCTGTATTAATACACTAGGCGCCTATAACTATTGTAACTGATCACAAACCAGTTGCCGGGTGTGTCTGCGCAGCTGTTGTGCTTCAGGACAGTCTAATTAGCAGGCTACGATCAGTAGCCCATGACAGGATATGATGTGTACCTGCCTCTGAAGCTTTTGTAAACACTTGGGTGTGTTTTTCCCTCTAGATCATTTTCTGCTTTACCATAGTTCAAAAGAAAAACATGTTGTCACCCTCCCTTCTGGTCTCTCAAAGGACTGCACTTTGACTCTTCGTGCGGCTGTTTCAACAAGTTATTTTTAGTAACACTTATAATCTTTTTTTATTATATGTGGAACTATAATTGGAGCATGTAGGTTGACAGGATGTACTCAGATCATAGCAAGATAATTTATCTTGATTTGTCTCTAGTTTGATTAACAAATATAGCCGATAATTTACAACTTCCCTGACTGAAAAAAAAAAAAAAACTTGAGGAAATTTTGTGGATGGAGTCTGCTGTCTTTGTTTTAGTGTGATTTTTCCGTGTATTTCCACACTCATACTCACATGAAATAATTCTTTTTGATTTTTTTTTTTGGGGGGGGCTCTTTGGAAATGTAACTGATATATATTCAGGCTGTTTAGTCTGCTTCTACATAGTCGTACAAAAAGAGAATTAAAACTGTCCTTCAACTACAAGGCTGTTTTAATGACTTGATAATTGACTTTAGGCTCTTTATGTCACACTCATAAGTCGTTCATCATGAATTAAAACTGAAGACTGTAAAATAAAAACAGGTTTATTTGCCACATACGTGTTTTGTATTCTTTATCTCCCTTCAGCCCCGTCCAGCTGTCTCATCCTTTAAATCCTCGAGCCCTTTAAGTTAGCATGTCTCCCACTTGCCCCTTCCCTCAGCTGTTCCATGCCCCTACTCCACTGGGATTGATACAATATTTTCCAGCCTCAATTAGCAGAGAGTCTGTTGACTAATTCCAACTGTTTTTGCACCTGAGAGTTGTGAGCTGGGGCTGGAAAAACTGAGGTTGGTGAGGCGGAGGTGAGGGACGGTGCTTGGGTGTAGCAGGCAAAGCTGTCGGGGCAGCAGAGCTGTGTCGACAAGAGTGTAAGGGCAAACCAGAGGACAGAGTGCGGAGCAGGTGGAGGATGGGGCTAAGACTAGCACTAGGAAACGCTATAGGTTACACAAGTATATTAAAGGCAGAATTAGTACTGGGTCTCTCGGTATTGGTCTCTGTAAGGATCTATGTGTTTTTGCAAGTAGATTCCCACAAGCTACATCATATATATTACACTATTTTTAAATCAGATGGAAAAAATATATCTCAATTTATTAGAAATCTTAAAAAAAGATTACTAATGCATTGTCTTTCATGTCTAGTACCTGATTTACGTCATTTACCATGTATAACTTTCTACTTGTTCTGCCTCCAGTTTATAGCATAGTGAAATTCTCTTGCTCAGGACACTTACAGTTTAATTTCAAGGTCTCCACAAGAGTAACAGTGCTCTTAAACAGAAAAGGAGATCTCAAAATGGTCTTAAACCAGATCTGTCCCAGTGTGAGTTGCAACCACAGGCTGACCACAAGGTTCATTTTGTTAAATCTAAGGCAAAGCCTACATGACCGCTGGTTTGGCACGGTGCTCAGCTCAGGGTGCAGAACACACCCTCATTCTGTGTGAGTGCCGAAAGAACCGTTCTTTCCACCAAAGGAAATGAGAGGATGATGGCTAAAGTGTATGAGGACATTACATCTAAGGGGACTGTACTTTTTCATTAATGGCTACTACTGCCTCCTAAGAGTAAATGACCCAATTGGCAAAAAGTAAAAAAAGCATACATTTCACAATCAATTTTGCTGTTTTAAAACATTTTAAATGTCAATTTCTTCTTTTTGCCAAATGTCTTTCAGTCCTTCGGCATGACTTCTGTCAAACTGTCAAATACAAGCAAAGTTTGGGAGTAGTATTTTGTTATGGTAGCTGACATTTATTACCACTAATGTGAAAGAATAATGTCCCAACTTGGATATGCCCACAGGTCCAAATTTAACACAGTAATAATTCATCTCAATTTGAATTTATACCAGTGTGTGTGGCTTTTAAAGGTTCTGCCAGGTGACTAATCCCGACAGGTTAACAAATGTCATCCAGTCTGCCGCTTGGAGATCACTGAAATGGTGGCAACAGACTGACTGGCTTGTTAGCTGGACGCAACAGCTGTTCTCCCCCAGTAGCTGTATGGAAAAACTCTGACTCACCCCCTTGTATAAAAAGGCATTAAGAACCAAACACATAAATATTACAGTCAAAGGCAAAAATGTCTCTAAGAGCTGTCCAATAAGTCAGTCAGCCAGTGACTAATGGAGAGGAAGGTCAGATCATGACCAGAATCAGTTCATCTGACCTGGTCAAGTAATGGTGGTTAAGAAACCATCACTGCATGAACAAGGTTTTCTCAAGTGTCCACAAAGCATAGATTGTCCGACAGATTACAAACTGAACGACACAGATCTGTCTGAATATGCCCGTCCAGTTGAGCACCGTGATTTGACATACTGCAGTTTTATCTGGTTTAACTCGTCAGACATAATGTGGGTTTCGGGGCAAAGCCACACTGCTAGAGAATTTTACATGAAATTCCTACTTGCATGCACACCCACAGAAAGCCATATAAAATCACAATAAAGCGCTTTGAGTGCTCAGATAGAGTAGAAAAGCGCTATATAAGGACCAGTCCATTTACCATTTACCAACAGAGCAGATGAACTGTGAAGATTACAAATTGGTCTGTGTTGGAAAAATGTGTTTCAGTATGACTGATGCACTTTCACCACAGTTTTGACAGGTTAATTCCCAGTGAAAGGGAAACTTTTTTTACCCAAGACCACTTTGTCTTTCCTCAGTGCCTGCTGTCCCATGAGGGGTCTAAACCATCTCTAGGTTATTCCCTTCCTACCTAGCAACGCTTCCGCCCTGCTCTAAACAACGCAACACAAATTGCTCAGCAGTGATATGACTAAGGGATATCCCCATAAACAGCTGTAAAAGTGAACAGATAAGAAAGTTCAGCCATAAAAATAAATCCGAAAACGTCACAGGGCATCCTCCCTCTGACACAAATTTCAGATATGCAACTTTTTCTCACTTTACTTACTGTCAGCGTAGTTTTTACGTCGAGTGCCGTCCACCTTGCCGGTTTTGTCAATGCAGAGGAAGAACTTGTTGGCAGAGTAAAGTCGCCGAAGTCGGACGTCACCCTCTAAGTGATTATAACTGCGCGTGTGCCTTTCCAGTGTCCATGAACAGTTGATTCCGCTTGCGAGCACCTGAAGGGGTTCATGCCCTACTCGAGGAGGACAGGCCCCCGTGACAGTACCAGCGGTGACCAAGAGCACGGTGAAGCATGCCAGGCAGAGTGAGGCTGCACTAGGCAGGGGGAAATGTGGACCAGCAGAGGCTGCAGTTGTAGCGGTGGTGCTGAGGGCAGCTTCAGGACAGAAATGAACTGCGGACGCCGTCCATCTGCACATGGTGGGTCAGACTCCCAAGGTGCACCTTGTGCAAGCTGTAGGCATGCTGATGATCAGGAGAAGTCCCTGTGGAGGGAGAGAAGGAAGGGAAGCGGCACTTACAGCAAATCCTCTGGATGTCACAGCCGGTCTCCACTTTGGGCTGAAAGCGGGCCTTCCTTCCTACAGAATCAGTTTTGCCAGAGTTCCTCCAGTTGTCATCTTCAGTTGTGTTTTTTTTATTCTTTTCCTCTCCTCCTTTAGCAAAGTGTCAAAATTTAACAAATCCAGTTTTTTGAAGTTCCTCCTTGATGCTGCTCCTTGCTTGTTTGTCGTCTCCTCCTTTGACTGAAGTCTTCTTCACTGGTCCATAATTAAAGTCCTGGGCTCTATGAGGATTCACATACGTGTGTTTGAATGAGTGAGTGTAAATGTACAAGTGTGTTTCTGTGCCAGTTTAAGCATGTGTGCGTGCACCTTGCAATGCTCTGCTGTTTCCAGCTGGGTAGGAACAAGTTGCCTGTCTGAATTGCTGACCCGTGGCAGAGAAAGAGTTGACTACTTCTAGTGTGTGTGTGTGTGTGTGTGTGTGTGTGTGTGTGTGTGTGTGTATGTGATACTGAGAGAGAAAGAGTGAGTGAGAAAGAGAGGGAGTGAGTATGGGAGGTGTTTGTGACAGAGAGAGGCAGCGAGAGTGTGTCTGTGTGTGTCAGAGTCTGCGAGCACAGGGCAGCGAAGCAGTGAGGCAAGCGAAGCCACGCTCTGCTGTGTGCAGTCAGTCAGTCCTCTCTTCTGTGAAGGCAGCGGCTCAGTTGTCCTGCATTTTATCCTGGGCAGGGCCAGGAGAAGGGTGGGGGGATGGGGCCACTGCACTCATTCATAACCATTTCAAACAAATGAGAAGCCTTACATCAAACACCATCCTCATTTTAATCTCTTACAGAAAACTTTGCTCTGTGAGAAATAGGTAGTTTGCCTTTAAACTTGAGGATTTTTTCTGCTTTTTGTGGTTACAGACACCTGGAGAGGTTCAAACTGTCTTTCAAGATGTGAACGGTGAGACTTTGTAACACAGTCAAATCAGCTTGATCGCTGTCCAGTTAAACCTTTTTTGACACTTTCACTCTGCACATGGGGCAAATTAAGGGAGCCTTCCCCCCTTTTTTTAATGGTTGCTGGTTTGAATCATCAAGCAGTCAGAAACACAGAGCAGGTTGTGAGTGTTGGTAGACCTAGTCCAGATGAAGTCTGAGAGTCTTTCTGATCACCTTTGTTAATATTTCAATGGAACGGCGTCTCTGATCTTTACCATTTAATTTGGCAGAGCAGGATGGAAATGAAGAACACCTTTTTTTGTGAGTTCACCCACTTGTCTGTTTTTAGAGGCTGTGTAATAAGCCTGATTAGATCAAGGTAAACGAGCACAGTCAATGCGTTATTTTATTACAATTTTTAACAATATAAAGAAAACTAACAAAAACCTCTTGAATAGTTTTGAAATTTATGGAAAATTTTGTCATTTTGGTAAAAAGATTCGCTTCCTTTCTTCTTTTCTTTAATCTTTATGGTGAATATAACATAGAGCCAGCAGCCAGGAACAACTAATGCGATTCAAAAGTATGCGTAAGAGAGTAGAACACAAGATGAAAAAAATTACCAATTAGCTTTGCCACTCATCTCCTTTTCTTTATTTGGGTCCTCATTTCAATTAGCACCCTGACCTGAGGCCACACTTGTCCAGTGCTGGAGGTGTTTCCGAGGGCTTCATGTTCACAAGTGGGACAGTCACTTCACACTCTGTGGGCTTTTTGACTGCCGCTAGAGACTTGAGCCCTTTTTGCATGGCCACAGTTTGCCCCAGCTTTCAGGGTTTCATATTAGGTCATAGTACCTGGTACTGACCAGGTACTAAAATAGTAAACCGACATTTTTGAAACCCAGTAATGAGGGAAATGTCTACAAAAAACAATGTTGTGGTCCCCGAGTCTGACAAGAAGCCACAGACCGAGCAGCAGGTATATCATTGCCTGGATGTCCACCTTTGTTGTAGCGTTCTGTCACCTACTAATTACACTCAACTTTTAATCCCAGATCGCTCAAACCATTCCTATACATGCCATTGTGATCTTGAACTTGGTGCCTGCCAGCCTCCATGTAAAGACTAGTTTCAGCATAAATCTAAAAACGTTGCTTCCATTTCTCTTCAGCTTATCAGAATTTAAAGGAGCTTTAAACGAGCTTATCAGCATCACTTAAAATAGTAAGTGGAACATGCAGACGAAGAGAAGCATCTCTCCATCTATTTTTGTCCGCTTATCCAATTCAGGGTCGTGATTGGGCTAGAGCCTATCCCAGCTGCCATATGGAGAGAGCCAGAGTACATCCTGAACAGGTCTATCACAAGGCTGAAACCAGTCACTCTCCCATTCACACCTACAGACAATTTAGAATCACCAGCCAACCTAACATTCTGTCTTTGCCCGGTCGGAAGAAGGTCTTTGTTATGAAATTGATGTAAGGTCTTTGCTTCATCATGAACAAAGGCCCCCTTTTTTTCCCTTTGCTGAATTCCCTCTGCTTACTATTCTTGGACAAAGGAAGCTCCCAGGTTGCTGCACATGTTATTTACTCTAAGCTCTTCATTGGCCTCAACATGTACTTTTACAATATTTCACTAATGATGCTCAAAACAACGTCAGACACTCCCAAAATGTGCAATACAATTTTTTAAAAAGTATTTTAGTCAAGAAGAGAAGCCCACTTAAAGTAAAGAATAATTAAATACAAATAATTATGTTTGTGTCACTGCCAAAACACAACAATACAAAGACATAAAGCCATGGACGGCAAAATGGGCAAAAAGAGTCCCAAGGAAGTCCCAGTTGTCCTTCCTATTCTGAAATTTCCTGTAATTAAAATCATACAATCATTCCAATGTAGAGCAGAACTTGTCAAAAATCTGAGCGCCTCCTGAGGTCAACAACAAAGCTCAGTCGTCATGTGAAAATCAGATGTGGCAGCAGATTGCTTTGTGGCGTCTTAGAAGTACATTTTTGGAGTCTGAGCTCAGTGCCAGAGCACACACACAAGCATAACGTGTCTCTTTGTTTTAATATCTTAGCATGCAATGTCTTGATGTTTTATAGTGTGAATGTTTGATGTCAGAAACTACAGCAATTTGTGATTCACAATTATAACAGATAAGAATTGATTAAATTTCCATTTAAGCTAGTTTTGTTCAGAGTCTAGTTTATGTTTTCAATTTGTAATCCAGTCAGCATGTAGTGCTGCATAATTTCTAATTTTATAGAGCAGAAACGAGCACAAGTGGAGCTTTGAAAAAATGCAGGACTGGTGCTAATGGCTTTTTGAGGCTATAGTAGTAGTTCTTAGACCTTTGCTCTAAGCATCATTGCACGAGTATGCTATCATTTCCAAATACAGACCCTGCATAAAGGAATACCATTAATTAGACATTTAAGAAGCAGTGGAAAAAATTACAATTTTAATGATGGCAGTAGCAGAAAGGTTAAAGAATTGATCTCAATTCATACTAATGTGTGTGAGCAAGAATATCTGAGCAGAATATGATGGCAATCCATCCGGTAGTGGTTGAGAACACCACAAATGCCATGCCTGGAAAGGGGAAATATCAGGTGACTGAGAAAGTCAGTGAGATGTGCCCCCTGGGGACCATGTATCTCTGCACAAAATGTCAACGTATTCCATCTAATAGTGCTTGAGGTTGTTTTTTAAAAAATTGTTTTCAAAAAAACATGGTAGAAAGACCAACCGTAAGACTAGCAATGTCATCCAAAGAGTAATGGCTAAAAAGATCCTGGATTATTTTCCCCCTTAACGGAGTTGAGCCATGCAGCGTGGGTGTGCCATGAACTGAAAACAGTGAGAGCCGGCACCCATGGAGGATGTTCCCAAGTAGAGGAACCTAATCTCTCCCAGCAGGGATTCAAGCGGCTCTGTAAGTGTATGAATAGAGATAATATCTCTATAATGAGGCCTGTTTTGTACCATCAAAGTCTTCAAAAGGGTCTGAAATATGACCCCCTTCCTAGAACTGACAAACCCTCAGTAATAGCTCCCTATTATTAATTGTTTTGCCTTCCTGCTAAATCCTTGTCTCGCTCTTTCTCCTGTAGCTACTTACCCTTGAAATAGTGCTTTTAAGCAGCCTCACATTGTGCTAGTTTAAAACTTTGGTGTGTTTGTTATCATTGTTTTAGATAAGAATCGTCACAGATAAAATACCTTGCTTCCTCTTATTCCAAAGCATAAAATATTAAAACACTCACCAAAGGAAGTTGTCTCATACACGTCACTCAGTGGCAGTAATTGCTTATCATTTCAGAGCGTCCAAGAGTTGTTGTTCTAGAGCTAGCACAGGTGTGCTCGCTATCTGTGAGATGTAGCTGGCTGACAAATGTACGGATGTTGTCCACTGAGGACATTTGCATGTCCTGCTTCGTGACTACTGTCTATTGTCAGCAATGTTATGATAACTGGATTGTATATCTGATGGTGTCAAAAGTTCTGAGAGATGCAGACTCGCAGTTCTTCACAAGTTGTTTTAACGTCTTCACTATCTCAGTCGATCTTAAGATGGACGAGTGTGGAAAATCTGTAAGAGTAGTGTGAGTACATCAGTCCATTAAAAGCCCTTAAATAAGACCACAAGATTCTTCTGAGGTCAGTCTCCCTGTAATGGACATTAATGGATATGGGATGAACAGTTTTTGTAATGTATGGTCTTGGAGTAGAATATATATTTTAAAAAATGAATTCCGAGGTTCATGTATGGAAGTTCTATAGAGAAGCTGGGTGAAGAAGCCTGCTTTCCACACACAAGCTACCACATTATTACAATGTAAGTGATGTAGAGTGCACACCAAGGAGAGGTTAACAAGCACACACAAACACATGCCAAAGGCATTTAGCAATACACGCATCTCTCCATCAAATTTCCCTGACCAGGTGAAGCAGTTTCAAAAACCGCCGTCTTCAATGTGTTAAACAAATAGGGAGCCCCTACAAAGGTGTGCAAAAGAATCCACATGATCAAAGTGTATGAGAATGGCAGCCTTGTCCTGGCCTGGCCATTATCAGGCCCCATGAATGCCTGTCTTCTCCTCTTTTGTCGGTCGGGGCATTGACAGTCACTCACCCGGCAATGACTGTCACACCAGTGCAAAGAGCCAGCCGCCAACAGGGGCCAAACCACATCAAACGAGGCTGTCAAGGGGCCCTGCTCGTGAACCGTTGCAACAAACACCTCCTGATCCTCACCTACAGCTCAGTAGCAGACACCCACCGCTGTGCTCTCAGCCGCTGCCTCCACTGAGAAAAGATGTACTGCCCGGACCTCATTTCCCTCTTTGGCCCCCCTCCCTTCTCTCTTTCTCTCTGTCAAGTAGTGCTTGTGTTAACCTGCAGCCTGCCGAGACACAAAGAGCTGCTAAAGTGTTTAAGAATGCTTTATGGACGCATGACAAGGGGAGGCTGACACTGCTGGGGGTCAGAAAGTATACAGGATGTGAATGAAATAAATTCAATTTTACTTTCAATTTGAAGTTGTGTCACACTTAATTTAAAATATATGAAAGTTGAACTTCAAAAGCTGTCTAGAAAAAGAAGACAATAATTTCCAACAGGCCATAACGAGTACTCTGGGCTTAGACAGCAGGAGAGCATGTTACGTGTTTCACTACGAGCCTCAGATTACTTCACTGGCAATAAAGGTAAGATAGAATGCAATATTTCCTGGAAGTTTAGATCAAGTAACTGCCAGAATAACTGCAGGAGTGTAAATACTGTACTACTGTACTTTAAAAGTCATACTCACATGACTGAGTTTGATGGCATTCAGTGTAGAAGCTTTAAGTTCCTTAAAGAGAACGTTAAACCAAATGTACATTTTAATTAACATTTACACAATAAAAGATCTTATGCAAATTAGTTACATTACCCGCTTAATATTCAGTATTTAGATCTGCACACAGATGACTGATACTACAATAATGAAAATCCAAGCAGATTTTAGTATATATAACTAGTACATAGAGAATTCGGCCACATTACTGCTTATTACTCAATAATCGTGTAAGACAGTCATTTTCACCTTTGCCACCAATTTGACTTCAGGCCCCATCTTGAATGGCTGTGGTGAGACTGCCACCTACAGGCCAAACATAATTCATTTTTTAGTACACCACACTGTGCAGCAGATAAATATTTCACCGATGCTGCTGAAAACACAGAAAATTAAGTAGTTAAAATTTTTTAGTGTCATATAAATGACATTTTTTAAACATTTTCTCTGATGGTAAAACTTACATAACCAAATTAGTGAAAATCGAACGAAAATTTTGGACTCTCT